TCACTTATCTCAAGCCACCTCATATACTACTATGCCAGCTGATATACAATGGGCAATATATATCAGTAATCCTTCCCCTAGATTCAGGCCACATAATTCAGTAGACACTTCCCTAAGATGCTCAAACAAGACCCCATCTGAAAAATGGCAATGGACTCCCTAATACTGAAGTAGAGACAGTAGAGAGCTTGGAACTGAAACACTGTCCTCAGAAAGAACACGTGCTCTTAACCACAAGGCCATCTTTCCACCTCGTAAATTCAGAGTGTTTTAATTAAACAAAATTAGGTTTTGTTTATTATTTGGGGGTATGCATGTATGTGAACATGCCATAGGAAACAGAGGTCTGCAGACAACTTTAAAGAATTAGTCTTCTATCCTGGTAGTGGTGGCCCATGCCTTTAATCCCAGAACTCAGGAAGCAGGGGCAGGACGATCTCTAAATTCAAGGCCAGCCTGGACTACAGAGTGAGTTCCAGGACTGCCAGAGCTATACAAAGAAACCATTTTGGGAAAATCTAAAACAAATAAACAACAACAGCAAAAAAGAATCAGTCTTCTCATTCTTCACACAAAAGTCAGGTCCTGGTCCTGATGCAGACAGTAAATTTATTTGCTGAGCCATCTCAAACATACTCCATGTCTTTTTGTTTGAATCGTCATACCCATCTGTGAGATGCATGCTGGTCATTCCAGGAAACTCAGATAATGAGACCTTAAACTTTACTGCACATGAAGTTTGAGAGTGTTCTGTATGAACCTGACATGAGGAACCAGGTGACAGTGGCTCCTTTTCTCTGCAGATGGATTGATGTAGGACTGACTGAATAGGATTAGAAAATATTTCAATACTGGGAGTTGAGCTATGGGAAGTTCTCTTCTTAGACAACCTAAATAAGTTCTGGATGTATGGATATATATATATATATATATATATATATATATATATATATATATTTCTGTCCAGCTGTGTCCTAAATGTGATATTTGATCCCTGATCATTGATATACTGTAAATAATTTCAAATGTGAATTCCAACAAGGGTTAAATATGGGAGCATTGTGTGTGAAATATCCCTGTCTTGGTATTCACTTTTTACTTCTTGTTTAGTATACTTCCTGAAGATTCCTTTATGCTTCATGACAGTCAGCACACAACCACAATGATTTCTCAACTCTGTTTTTAATTTAAAAAAGTGAATCCCAGCTTGACCAGGCTCCAGTGACTATAGGGACAACACAAATAGAGCTTGTTTTTTCTTTCATTTTCTGTCTTTTGGGGCAGTGGGAAGCCACAAGGTGGGGTAGACCTGGGAGGACCAGGAATTAAAGGTGATTGGAGTACATGATGAGAATTTCCCATTTAATCAATAAAAATATGTTTGAAAAATTGATGAAGGTAAAACAGTGTGATAGCAACGTCTTTCACTGCCATGTGATTATACAGGCAGAAGGGAACACAAAGGAGAAACTTCAGGGATAGCAATGCGAAAATCCAGACAAATGACAATTCCATGGTGAAGATAGAGTTCTTAGGTTGGGTGGGTTCTAGAGGCCAAGAATATAAAACGTATCCATCTATTATAGCTCTTTACTTGAAGGATACCAGCTCAAAGGGAAATGCTTAAAGAATAAGGCCCCAGAGTTAGATGAGCCTATTGTTAAATGCTAGTGATCTCAGCATTCAGGAGGACCAGAATTAAAGGTCAGAAGTTCAAGGGGAAGTATGGGTTATTAGGCTATTAAGAAAAAGAAAAATGAAAGGAAAAAAAGAATAGTGTGGAGAGACCCCATTCCCTTTGTTCTATGTTTTAATTTTCCTTCAGCCAACTTTATGATCCAACTGAACATCTTAGCATGAACCACTCTCATGTACATCTTTGGTTTGGGAGAAATACACCCAGGATAATTTAAGAGTGTTTGCCTTTATCTGGAATATAAACAGATTTGATGAGTTTCCTTATTAGAAGTGGATTTAAAACTAGAAGTATCCAGTGTCACAGGAATACCCCTGTCTCAGAGTTCAAGCTTTCTAGATGCTCTGAGTGCATTTGTGTGGCTCTATCATGTATGAAAGTTTGTGTTCTTTGCACACTGGCTTTGAGACAGTGACTTCAACCCTGTTATCTTAAGCTGACAGTTTTGCTTCTTCAGGCGTTAAATGGTGCAGTGGGTGAGTACCACCAAACTAAGAGGCAAACTTTGAGAGTAATAAGTGATGACACACTGGGAAAAGACAGCTTGTGGTCCCACTGTGCCCTTCTCACTGTGATATTAGGTTTGAGTGTTGATATATGATAATTGCCAAGTCCTACTTCCATCAAGGACTGCTTACATCAGCATTGTGTTTGAAATGTCCTTGTCTTAGAAATCATGGAAGTCTGCACACAACCACAATGATGATCAAGTACAAGACCTCTGATCTCTACTTCTTGTTTTATTTTATTGATTTTGTAACCCAACTTCATTTTTCCTTTCACTTCTCTCTTCCTAGCACCCCAATACCCACTTCTCCCCCTCCATTTCTCTTCAGAAAAGGACAGGCCTCCCATGGATATCTATTATCCATGCTATATCGAGTGGCAGTGAGACTAGGCACCTCTTCTCTTATTAACGCTGAGTGAGACAAACCAGGAGGAAAGGGTCCAAACTATCTTATATCTGTTGGATTGGCATAGATAAAAAACTACAAGTGACAGCTCATGCTGGTGAGTATGTGGAGCAACGGGAACACTCCTCTATTGCTGATGGGAATATAAAATTAAAGCCATTTTGGAATCAATATGGTGGTTTCTCAGAAAAATGGAAATTGATCTACCTCAAGACCCAGTTATACTACTACTGGGCATATACCCAAAGAATGCTCCATCCTACCACAAGGACATTTGCTCAACAATGTTCATAGCATTTTTATTTGTAATAACCAGAAACTGGAAACAACCTAGATGTGCCTCAGCTGACGAATGAATAAAGAAAATGTGCATTTACACAATAGAGTATTACTCAGCTGTTAAAAACAAATGGATGAAACTAGATAAGATCATCCTGAGTGAGGTAACTCAGACCCAGAAAGACAAACATGGTATGTAAGCATGCTACAACATAGACCCAGAGAAACTAAATAACAAGGAGGGATCAAGGGGCGATGCATGGATCTCACTGTGAAGAAGAAATAGAAAGGACAACACCAGTGAACAGGGTGAGGCATCTGCATAGGGGTGTGGGGATGAGAACAGGAGGGTCACGAGGATGGGGGGGGGATGGAGGGAAAGAGTACTGGGAGAAACATTTCTGGGAAGAGCTAGAAACCTAGTGCAATGGAAACTCTCTTGTCTCTATTTTGAATAAACAAATTGAGGAAGAAATTGTCGGATACCAATTCTCTTATTGTTATCTAAATGTACAGGCAAAAGAGAACATATGTTGGCTGGAGTAATGGCTCAGAGGTTAAGAGCACTGGCTGCTCTTCCAAAGGTCCTGAGTTTAATTCCCAGCAACCACATGGTGGCTCACAACCATCTGTAATGAGATCCGGTGCTCTCTTCAGGCCTGCAGGGATGCATGCAGGCAGAATACTGTATAGATAATAAATAAATCAATCTTTAAAAAAAGAAGAGAGAGAACATATGTCACAGCTTCAAGGACAGCCACACCAAAATACAGACAGAAATCACAATTACAGATTTAAGATCCAGAACTAAGGTTGGAGAGAGTTTTGAGGTCAAGAGTATGACATTTGCTCAACTATTGGAGGGTTTTGTTTGAAGGTGGTCCTTTGTAAGGGTCCCACTCATGTCTCAATGGATATCATAATCTGCAAAGAATGAAAACCCAGTGCATATTTGACTTTGTCAACCTGGATCAGACTTTGGGGAGTCTATTGCCAGACTGTTCACTGGCAGCACATTTAAAACAAAGTACAATTTAGGCAAGTGTTCCAGGCAGCAACCAGTCCAATCAGTCCAATTCCAGGTGCAAATTAAAGCCTAGGGTGTGACTACATAGAAACTTTTTTTTACAAAGTACACATGACCATGATAATGGGCTCTATAGCTAAAAGGCCAATATCTAGTGTGACCTTGGACCAACAGCATAGAGGTCAGCAAGCCAGAAAGTATATGTGACCTTTAGTCTGGGCTAATCATTCTGAGGAATTTGGGTGAAGTCTGCCTCTATAGCTAAAGCTCTCCAGGTCCTCAACAAAATCCACTCTGGGTTTTCAAGATGGAATGTAGGTATTGATTTTTTATCTCCACTGAGGAGACAACCCTGCATGATTAAAATTCCTGGTATTTGCTGGGCAGTGGTGGTGGTGCTTGCCTTTAATCCTAGCACCCAGGAGGCAGAGGCAGGCAGATATCTGTGAGTTCCAGGCCAGCCTAGACTACAGAGTGAGTCCCAGGAAAGGCACAAAGCTACACAGAGAAACCCTGTGTGGAAAAACCAAAAAAAAAAAAAAAATCCTGGTATTCTTAATGCACTGTGTCCCAAAAAATCACTAAATGTGAGGAACACCGGACAATACTCCTTCAGGTTACTGGGGTCCCACACTACCTTTAAAAGCTACTAGAACAACATTTGCAAGTATTAATTATTTCTCTGATGCCAAATCATCACTTAGAAATGCATATAGTTTTCTCTCTGACTCTACCAGTCTCCTGTCCCTTCATCCCATTGTTCTTCAAGTCAACCTGAGTCCCTGTGATCTGAACCCTTTGCACTCCATTTTCTTTCCAAAATATTAAGCACTGTGAAGCCATATGCTCTAGAACCCCTTGATGAGAGACATGTCTGTAAGATGCCATGACTTGGTTAGGGCGATGGAGAAAGAAACAGGTATTGAAATGCTGGGAATAAGTGGGCTGTGCACTCCGATGAAGACACACTAGCAACCCATAAAACTCAGCACATTTTATTATAGGCAATCAAGGATGTACACAGTATACATACACTCCCAACACTAGGCTTCCATTTTTAGTACCAGAAGAAACCTTATCCTACTTATGGACAAAGGCAAAAAAGTCTGACCTCCAGGTTATAGAAACAGCAGTGAAAACAGTTCAAGCAGGTTCTTGTAGAAAAGGAGACTTTCTTGGGTTGCCTTTCGGCCCTGAGTATATCCAGCAGCTCAGGACAAAGTAGCTTAAATTTGTCTTTAAGTATTCTCAATTCCTCATAGCATTCCAGAGGTGCAGGGTACTTCTCATGGGTCAGTGTGCTCAGCTTGGCTGTGTGATGTAGAAGTTTCTTCAGGACAAGCAGAGAGATATTATTATTACAAAAATTGACCACAGTAAGCTGAGAACATTGGCTCAGGGAAGGCAAGATAGCATTGAAATGACAGTCCCTCATCTCGCACTCCTCCAATTCCAGGGTTTGCAGGGTACTCGAGATTCTCTCAAGGAGAACCCCAAGAAGCTTAGGGCATGAATCAGATAGCTCTACACCTATCAGGTGCAGATGTTTGAGCTCACAGATGTTCAGGCACTGGCTCAGGTAATCCAAGTCTGACTGGGAGAGCTGGCAGGCAGTGATTGCCAGGGTCTTCAAGGGGGTCTTCAGGTACCTAGGGAGAGATCAAAAGATTAGTTATGCCAAAAAGTATTGAAGAGGATTGGTGGGAATGAAAGCAAGGCAGATGATGCTTTCCCCAAATTTAGTCTGTCTATATGATGGATTCATTCAGCTTCATCCTAGCAGTGTCTTTAAGAGTCCTCTTATATGGGCCCTGGGACACAGCCAGTCCCCAGGATCCCCCACCCAACTCTGCCCCAGTTGCTGGCCAGCAGGGAAAACCCCTGAGGCCAGGTTCCCCCTACCAAACCCCCATCAGACCCTGCAATCCACAAGACCACACCCTACCCCAATACCCATCTGCCTGCGACCCCAGTAACTTCCTGAGACAAGGAAACCAATCTGCCAGCTCTCACTGGATCAAGAGGTGAGTGACTCTTCTCCCACCCAGAGAGTCCTGCCTCTAGGACCCAAATCCTGGGAAACAACCAGTCCCCAGGAACCCCCATCCACCTCTGCCCCAGTTGCTGGCCAGCTATGAAAACTCCTGTGGTCAGGCTCTCCCCACCAAAAACTCCCATCAAACCCTGCAATCTACAAGACCCACCACACCCAACTCCAATACCCATCTGCCCGAGACCCCAGTAACTTCTGAGACAAGGAATCCACCAGCTCTCATGTGGATTCCTGAGACACAGGATCTAATAGCTCTCATTGAACCAAGAGAGGCTTCATGAGAAAAAGAATCCACCAGCTCTGACTAGACCAAGAGCCCTGATAAGACCAAGAGGGACTCCCTGAGCCACAGAATCAGCTAGCTCAGACTGGAATAAGAGTAGCTCCCTGATATACAGAATCTGCCAGCTCCAATTAAACCAAGAGCTAAGATTGAGATCAGAAACAACAAGCACAGAGTGTACCAATAGCAGCTTATTCTGACACAGGCACCTCTTGCACCTAATAGAGGAAGAGATGAGTAGACATCAGGGCAAAAATACATACAACAACATAAAGAGCAATACGGCATCACCAGAACCTAGCCTCCTATAACAGCAAGACCTGAATGTAGCTAGAGCTTTCCTGCCTGGGCCACAGTCAGACAAATCTCTCTCACCTGCCAGTCCCACAGCCGCTCAGACCTGACCAAGTAAACACAGAGACTTATATTGGTTACAAACTGTATGGCCATGGCAGGCTTCTTGCTAACTTTTCTTACAGCTTAAATTAATCCATTTCCACAAATCTATACCCTGCCACTCGGCTCATGGCTTACTGGCATCTTCACATGCTGTTTGTCATCCTGGCGGCTGGCAGTGTCTCTCTCTCAGCCTTCCACTTCCCAGCTTTATTCTCCTCCTTGTCCTGCCTATACTTCCTGCCTGGTCACTGGCCAATCAGTGATTTATTTATTGACCAATCAGCAACACACTTGACATACAGACCATCCCACAGCACCTGAACATCACAAGGTAGAAGAAGCAGAAGAAAGCAACCTTAAAAGTAGCTTCATGAAGATATTAGAGGCCTTTAAAGAAAAAATGCAAAATTCCCTTAAAGAAATTGAGGGAAAGGCAAACAAAAAATTGGAAGAAATCAATAAATCCCTTAAAGAAGGCCAAAAAAACATTAAAAAGCAATTAAACACGTGAAGGAAACAGTCCAAGATCTGAAAACTGAAATAGAAACAATGAAGAAGACACAAACAGCGGAAATGATGGAACAGAAAATCCCAGTAAACAGGAAGTACAGATGCAAGCATAACCAACAGAATGCAAGAGATAGAAGACAGAATCTCTGGTGTAGAGGTACAATAGAGGAAATAATTTGTCAATCAAAGAAAACACTAAAGCCAAAAAAGTCATAACACAAAATGTCCAGGAAATCTGGGACACCATGAAATGGCAAAACCTAAGAATAATAGGGATAGAAGAAGGAGAAGAATACCAACTCAAAGGCACAGAAAATATATTCAACAAAATCATGGAAGAAAACATTCCCAATTTAAAGAAGGAAATATCTATGAAGATACAAGAAACTTATAGAACACCAAATAGACTAGACTGCCCCAAGAAGTTCCCTTCTCACATAATAATTAAACCACTAAAATACAGAATAAAAAAAGAATAGTAAGAACAGCAAAGGAAAAAGCCAAGTCACTTATAAAGGCAGACCCATCAAATAACACCCAACTTCTCAATGGAGACTTTGAAAGCCTGAAGGTCCTGGACAGATGTAATGCAGACACTAAGAGACCATGGATGCCAGCCTAGACTAATATACCCAGCAAAACTTTCAACTACCATAGATAGAGTGAACAAGACATTCCAAGACAATACCAGATTTAAACAATACCTATCCCCAAATTCAGCCCTACAAAAAGCACTAGAGCAGTCCATGTACCAGAAACACCTGAATTCCACTAGTGTCATGTCATGATTCAGGATTTTAAATTCTGGAAATTGTTGTTGATTTTTTAATTCAGCTGTCCATTCTTGGCTGTGTATATATGGCTTCATCTTAACATCCCGTTCTTCTCCACATCCCTCTGTCAAATGCCAGTTTACTATTGCGAGGCGTGAGCTTAGTCACTCTTCAAGAATAACTGTTTCAGCTGCTGTTCCATTGCACATCAGAAGCCATCGGCCCACTGCCTATTCAGCTGCCTTCGAAGAAAAGGGCACTGTACCTTTTCCAAATTGCGAAGGCCACTTCAGGGATGGTGCCATATTGTCCTGGCCTCAGAAGATGCCTTTTGATAAAGCCATAACCACACTCGTTTTGGCAGGAATCAGTAGTCCTTTGTTTCATGTCCTGTCTGTCCATTTTGTCAGCAGTTGATTCAAGGATACTTTGTTGTCCAGTGGAGGTTGAACTGTCGACCTTGTGTACATCCTACTTCACAAATGAGTCTGTCAAACATGCTAAGCCTATAGGCTGAAGATGATGCCCCAACACTGTGGAGAAACCTCAGGTGACTGTCCAGACAGCTGGCTGTTTCTGTCAACTCACAAATTTTTTGGAAGTTGCTTGCATGCACTTTCTGTTTTTATTTTTGTTAGCTAATATTATTTCCTTCTTGGGTCTCTGAGGGAGTTGAAGATTAGTTAGTTATAGTTGAAGGTTAGTTAGTTATAGTTGAAGATTAATTAGGATAGAAAGTGAATTAGATACATTTTGGACTTAACAAAATAGGATAGATAATGAAATTATTTTCTCTGAATTTGTCAAATACAAATGGACTAGACATTGTTTAGACATTTATTACTTGTATATATTGTATATAGTCATTGTACTTTTGTATATAGTTTTTCTTTTGTTAGTTATAACCTTTTTCTTTTTTTTCCTTTTTATTAAAATAGAAAAGGGGAAAAAAAAAAAAAGTAAAACGTGATAGATTCAATGCCAATGAATTCCACAGTTAAACTCAGAGCATTTTGTAAATCCAATGTGATTGATTAATAATTCCAATGTTCAATATTATCTTCAGTACAAATAAAGATTATACCTTACCAAAAAAAAAAAAAAAAAAAAAAAAAAAAAAAAAAAGCACTAGAAGGAAAATTCCAACATAAGGAAGTCAGATACACCCATGAAAACACAGGCAATAAATAACCCCACAGTAGTAAATCCCAAAGAAGAGAAATGAACACAACACTACCACCAAAAAATAACAGGAATTAATCACTGGTCATTAATATCCCTTAATATCAATGGACTTAATTCACCTATAAAAATACACAGGCTAACAGAATGGATACAAAGTAGGACTCATCTTTCTGCTGCATACAAGAAACATGTCTTGCCCAGTGGTGATGGTGTACATCTTTAATCCCAAAACTCAGGAGGCAGAGGCAGGTGGATCTCTGTGAGTTCAAGGCCAGCCTGGTCTACAGAGTGATTTCCAAGACAGTGATTTCCAAGGCTTCAAAGCTACACAGAAAAACCCTATCTCAAAAAACCTTAAAAAAAGAAAAGAAAAAAGAAAAAGAAACACACTTCAAGTTAAAAGCCAGACACTACCTCAGTGTAAAAGCCTGAGAAAAGTCTTTGCAATCAAATGGACTTAAGAAACAAGCTGGTGTAGCTATCCTAGTATCCAACAAAATAGACTTCAAACTAAAAATCAAAAGAGAACAAGAAGGACAATATATACTCACCACAGGAAAGATCCACCAAGATGAAGTTTCAATTCTGAACATTTATGCCCCAAATACAAGGGCACCCACATACATAAAAGAAACATTATTAAAGTTAAACCACACATCAAACCCCACACATTAATAGTGGGAAACTTCAACACCCTACTCTCATCACTGGACAGATCTGCCAGATGGAAACTTAAGAGAGAAATAAGGGACCTGACTGATGTTATGACTCAAATGGACTTAATAGATATCTACAGAACAATAATCAAATTGAGAGCTGAAATCAATGAAATAAAACAGAGAACAATATAAAGAATCAATGAAACAAAGAGTTGTTTCTTTGAAAAAAATCAACAAGATAGACAAGCCCTTATCCATCCTAACCAAAGGCAGAGAGACAGCATCCAAATTAACAAAATCAGAAATGAAAAAGGAGATATAACAACTGACAATGAGGCGATCCAGAGAATCATCAGGTCATACTTCAAAAACCTGTACTCCACAAAATTGGAAAACCTGAAAGAAATGGACAATTTTCTGGATAGGTACCACATGCCAAAATTAAATCAAGATCAGATAAACTATTTAAATTGACCTATAACCCCTAAGGAAATAGATACAGTCACCTAAAAGTCCAACCAAGAAAAGTCCAGGACCAGAAGATTTCAACAAATAATTCTACTAGATTTTCAAAGAAGAGTTAATTCCAATACTCTTCAAATTGTTCCACACAATAGAAGCAGAAAGAACATTACCAAATTCCTTTTATGAGGCTACAGTTACTGATTCCCAAGTCACACAGATGCAGCAAAGAAAGAATTACAGACCAATCTACCTCATGAACATTAGTGCAAAAATATTCAATAAAATACTGGCAAACATACTCCAAGGTCACATCAAAAAAATTATCCACAATGACTAAGTAGGGTTCATCCCAGGGATGCAAGCATGGTTCAACATACAAAAATCTGTCAATGTAATACACCATATAAACAAACTGAAAAAAAAATACATGATCATCTCATTAGATGCTGAAGAAGCCTTTGACAAAATCCAACACCCCTTCACGATAAAGGTCATGGAGAGATCAGGAGTAAGGGAAAATACCTAAATATAATAAAGGCAATTTACAGCAAGTCAACAGCCAACATCAAAATAAATGGAGAGAAACTCAAAGTGATTCCACTAAATTCAGAAACAGTACAAGGGTGACCACTCTCCCCATATTTATTCAATATTGTACTTGAAGTTCCAGCTAGAGAAATAAGACAATAAAAGGAGATCAAGGGGATACAAATTGGAAAGGAAGAAGTCAAAATTTCACTATTTGCAGACAATATGATAGTATATATAACTGACCCCAAAAATTCTACCAGGGAACTCATACAGCTGGTAAACTCCTTCAGTAAAGTGGCAGGATACAAGATCAACTCAAAAAAAAAAAAAAAAGTCAACTATATACAAATGATAAAAGGGCTGAGAAAGAAAACAGAACCATCACCCTTTACAACAGCCACAAATAATATAAAATACCTTGGTGTAACTCTAAGCAAATGAAAGACCTGTATGACAAGAACTTTAAGTCTCTGAAGAAAGAAATCGAAGAAAATATCAGAAAATGGAAAGATCTCCCATGCTCATGGATAGGTAGGATTAACAAAGTAAAAATGGCAATCTTACCAAAAGCAATCTACAGATTCAATGCAATCCCCATCAAAATTTCAACACAATTCTTCACAGTCCAGGAAAGGACAAAACTCAATTTCATTTGGAAAAAAGAAAACCCAGATAGCTAAAAGAATCCTGTACAACCAAGCTACTTCTGGAGGCACCATCATCCCTGACATCAAGCTCTACTGTAGACCTATAGTATAAAAACCAGCCTGGTATTAGCATAAAAACTGACATATGGACCAATGGAATCAAATTGAAGACCCGGACATTAATCCACATACATTTGATCACCTGATTTTTGTTTGACAAAGAAGCCAAAACTGTACAATGGAAAAAAGAAAGTATCTTCAACAAATGGTGTTGGCATAACTGGATGTCAACATGGTAAAAGATGGCAAATAGATCCATATCTGTCACCATGCACAAAACTCAAGTCCAAGTGGATCAAAGACCTTAACATAAATCCAGTTACACTGAACTTGATAGAGGAAAAAGTAGAAATACTCTTGAATGCATTGGCACAGGAGACCACTTCCTAAATATAACACCAGTAGCACAGACACTGAGAGCAACAAATAATAAATGGGACCTCTTGAAACTGAGACTCTTTTGTAGGACAAAAGACACAGTCAATAAGACAAAAAGAGCCTACAGAATGGGAAAAGATCTTCACCAACCCCACAGCTGACAGAGGACTGATCTCCAAAATATATAAAGAATTCAAATTAGACATCAAAGTAAGGAGCAATCCAATTAAAAAATGGATATGGGGTGGTGGCGGTGCACACCTCTAATTCCAGCACTTAGGAGGCAGAGCCAGGTGGATCTTTGCGAGTTTGAGGACAGCCTGGTCTAAAGAGTGAGATCCAGGACAGGTACCAAAACTACAGAGAAACCTGTCTTGACACAAAACAAAAAAAGAAAAAGAAAAACAAACAAACAAAAGGACTATAGAGCTAAACAGAATTCTCAAAGGAATAATTTCAAATGACCAAAAGACATTTAAGGAATTGCTCAGCATCCTTAATCATCAGATAGATGCAAATCAAAACAACTCTGAGATACCATCTTACACCTGTCAGAATGGCTAAGATCAAAAGCACTGCACACAGCTTATCTTGGAGAGGATGTGGAGCAAGGGGGACACTCCTCCACTCTTGGTGGGAGTACAAACTGGTACAACCACTTTGGAAATCAGTATGGCAGTTTCTCAGAAAATTTGGAATCAATCCACCTGGAGACCCAGCTATACTACTCTTGGGCATATACCCTAGGAATGCTCAAACATACCACAAGGACACATGCTCAACTATGTTCATATCACCATTATTTGTAATAACCAGAACCTGTAAACAACCTAGATGCCCTTCAATTGAAGAATGGATTAAGAAAATGTGGTATGTATACACAATGGAGTACTACTCAGCAGAGAGAAACAATGACATCTGTAGTGGGTAGCTGTTCCAACTTTGTCCAGGAATTACTACCCCAATTGATGCTTCTGGTAACTGTCATGCCTACAACGTGGGGCCAAGACAGGAGTGCTAAAGACCTGAGATCTGGAAGTGCAGCCTCTCTTGGTTTCTGGATCCTGGATGCTGGAGGTAGACTGAGCAGAGTTCTCCAGAGAACACCGCTGGACTGTGCTTCACCTTTCCTGGAACCTGTAACCTATCCCTTCACTTGTAAGTTACCCCACAAAATAAACCTCCCTTTTAACTAGGTAGAGTTGCCTTAATATTTCAACCAATAGACATCATGAAATTTGCAGGCAAATGGATGGAACTAGAAAAGATCATCCTGAGTGAGGTACCCCAAATTCAGAAGGACAAACATGGTATGTACTCACTCATAAGTGGATACTAGATGTAAAGCAAAGGATAATTAGACAACAACTCACAACTCCAGAGAAGCTAACAAGGAAGACCCAAAGAGGGATGCATGGGTCACCCTGAGAAGGGGAAATATACATTTCCATGAGTAAAATGAGGATGAGGGGTGGGCAATGGAGGGTAGGGGATAAGGGATGAGAACATAAAGGAATGGGATGGTTGAGCTGGAACAGGGATGGATGGGGAAAGCAATGAAGAAATACCATGATAGAGGGAGATATCATGGGGATATAGAGAAATCCAGTGCTGGGAAAGTTGCCTAGAATCCTCAAGAATGATCCCAGATTGGACTACTAGAAATAGCGGAGAGGGTGCCCGAACTAAACTGGCTTTCCCCAGTGATCAGATGGGTGAATATCCTGTCACCACAGAGTTTTCTCCAATGACTGATGGAGGCAGATGCAGAGATCTACTGCCAAACACCAGGCAGAGCTCCGGGTATCCAGTCCAAGAGAGAGAAGAGGGATTCTATGAGCAAGTACATCAGGACCATGATGGGGAAACATGCAGAGATAACCAAACCTAACTAGTGGGAAATCATGAAAGGTGGATCAGTAGCTGTGGAGCCTGCATGGGACTGGACTAGGCCCTCTGTATGGTGAGACAGTTGCATAGCTTGATCTGCTTGGGGGGCACCCTGGCGGTAGGATCAGAATCCATCTCTGGAGCATGAGCGGGCTTTTTATAGCCCTCTACCTATGATGGGACACCTTGTACAGCCTAGAGGCAGGGTAAGGGCTTGGAATTGCTTCTACTGGATGTGCCTCCACATGGGAGGCCTTGCCTTCTTGTGGATGGGAGTGGAGGGTGGGTTGGGAGAGGGGCTGCTGTGGGGAGAGAAGGGAAGAGGGGGATCTTTGATTCGTGTGTAAAACGATTATAAAGCATCTGGAAAGAGGAGACTAGGAAATAAATAAATAAATAATACAAACAACCATCAAAAATCAGAATATAAACCAAATAGAAAGGAGAAGACTAGGAAGTGGAAATGATAAATCACATCTTAGAAGTAGGAACATCACTTGCTCAACCCCTTCTTGGACCCCAAACAACCTTTTACACATGAGCACTTACAGGTGTGCTAGTGCCTGTTCACAAATATCTGAGCATAGAGCTCATCTGCCGGGTTAACCTATGTCTCCACCACTGCTAGGTTCACAGTGGTCAGACCATCAAGGACCCACTAATCTGTAAAGAAAAGGATGTGGTTGCTATGTTCTGGAGGACACTCTCCATCCTTCCTTACCTGAGCCACTTTTCAAGGCAGCCTGTTAAAAAGTAGATATTATGTACAGAGAGATTCTGGAGACAAGGGAATCTGGAGATCTGAGAAAGCAACATGCTTATCCATTCCTGCTCTGCAGAAGCAGCAGATCTTAAGGGCTTCCGAATTCCCACTAGCTCAAGGGTGTGAAGATTTTTCATCTGCTCCAAGTAAGGAAAAAGCTGTACCATGAATTCAAGTGACCACTGGCTCAGCTGCAGCTCCAGGATACAGTCTAGATTTATAAATTTGAAGATCTGTACAGCAGCGAAGACTGGTGAATCCCAAATCTTCAGCTTTCTACAGCATACATGAATGGAATCGTTTCGCTGCTGGGCCCATTGTAACAAGTACCAGTCACATGGATTGAACCTGGTCTTTATGAGTTCAAGATCAGTTACTACCTTAAAACGTTTCTTCACCCCAGAGTTAGGACTGATTTCCACTGGTTGCTCCTGCCTCTCAGCTTGTGGAGAGCAGTCACCTTCATGGGTTCCTGCCCTAATTCTCCAGAATTCATGGTCCTCATCCGCCAAATCAAGCACTCTGAGTTTTGACCTCCTGTTGGTAAAACAGGTAGAATTCCCAGAAGATAAGACAAGATACATCTTACAGTCTACTTCTTGTCCACATCTCATAACAGCTTCCCTTCCAAATCTTTGCTTTCTCAAGATCAAGCCTCGTGCTCAGTGAAAATGGATATTTGCCAGCAAGGCATCTATCTCATCTCCCTCCATTCCGTTCCCATTAACCCTAGCCTCATTCCACTTTTAACTGTGGAGCTGGCAGGGAGAGGCCTATTCCTCAGTGGCTATGTCTACTCTTGTGCCCTCCACATGTCATTAATTGCCCAGACGCCTGAGACCTGGCCCAAACCTCTGCAGTTCTCTATGCTGATGCTATAAGAAGCCTCTGATCCACCTTTGGCCAAGTTCTCCATGTCCCCAGTTGTTCCTTCTCTGCACCCCCACAGACTTCCTGCACCCTAGCTGGGTCCTGATTACCTGGGATGAACCTTGTCTGTAATCAGCACATCTAGTCCATCAAGCAGAGCTTTCAAAGTCTCCAGGTCAGAGTCCTTTATCAGGGCTCTTACAGAAAGGTCTGGGAATGGCCAGGCAGACACCATGGCCCTCAAGATGTTTGTTCGTCTGTCGTTGAAGGCCTCCTGAAACATCTCCTGGAGCAGCTCCACAGGCAGGTCCTCCAGAATAGAAATGGTCAAGTCCTCTTCCCTCAGCAGCCTCTGTCTTGCCAGCTGCATGAGTGTGGGTGGGGCCTGGTCTCCCATCAAGACTGGTTTTCAGGGATAATAATCCTGAGGAAGCATGAAAGCAAAGACACCATTCAGAAAACTTAGGAAGCCTTTCTTCTTCCCACACAAGAACCTCTCTGTGGTGATGGTGGACATCTCAGTTTTCACATTTTGATCACCTTGTGAGGGTTTTAAAGCCACACCTATCCTGTCTGCAGTGGGAAGCCTCTCAAAAGCATGCTCTTTCCCAAACACCCCATCCTATTCCAACCACAGTTCAGGTGAAGCCATTTCCACTAAGGGCTCTCCAGGAAGCCTGAAGGCTCAGCCCATGTGGTCAGTTCTCCAGGACCTCAAAGAAAGCAAAGGAAACATCCCATTTCCAACCTTGCCAGTCTCCGTTCACCTGGCTGACCCAGCCTGGAACAATTGAGGGAATCTGTGAGATGGACATCATTAGTTATTGACTTCAATTGTTGGTTATCACTGGTCCTGATGTTTCAGGAGGGTTGCAAGCTTGTATTCTCTGTGCTACAGAGCTGAACAGAGTAAGAAAGGAACAGCCAGGCAGTGGTGGCCCACGTCTTTAATCCCAGCACTTGGGAGACAGAGCCAGGTAGATCTCTATGAGATGGAGGCCAGCCTACTCTACAGTGCAAGTTCCAGGACAGGCTCCAAAGCTACACAGAGAACCCCTGTCTTGAAAAACCCCCCAAAAAAAGAAAGAAAAAAAAAACACTGAAAAGTAAAAAGTCAGTCAATAAACTTTCAGTAGCCACTGCATAGGTCTGTAATGTTTTTAAAGCATCTGGAAAGGACTCTGGGATGGAAATGATAATTTACATGTCACAGTCAAGAAACTCACTAGTCCAATGTCATGGTTACTTACTCCTAGAGTTCTAGAACATCCTACTTGAGGTCTCCCAAAACTAATGGAACATTATAATTTGAACACTGAGACCAGGGAAGCAGGCTGCTTCCTGCAAGATTCAGAACATACTAATCTCCATGATGGGACCATGTATCAACCAGCAGAGAAAAAGGACTTCTTGCTATTGTGGTTGTTGTTACAGGATCAACCTGGGCAGTCCTAGAACTCACTCTGTATCTCAGGCTGGCCTTGAACTCAGAGAGCTCTGCCTGCCTCTGTCTCCCAAGTGCTGGGATTAAAGTTATACACAACCATTTCTGATTTAAGTTGACCTAAACATCAGCACAAGCTGGGCCTTAGCGGCACATGCTTTTAATCTCATCCCTTGGAGACAACTTCTATGAGTTCAAGTCAGCCTGTTCTACAGACAGATGCTGTGTCATGTCAAAACACAAAAAAAGAAAGACAAAGAAAAAGACCAGCACAGTCCAATCATCTGAATGATTCATGTGTAACTACCCCCCAGATATTCACCCTGATATTCACAGTGGGACAGTCTCTAAACAGGGACACTATAAACAGACTCAAATAATGACTTTGACATAAACAAAACTTGCTGGTTCTGATGATTATCCAGCAGAATCTCGAGAACTTGAGGCCAGGCAGAGTTATGTAGGAAGTTCTTGTCATAAAACAAAAAAATTAGCAACTAAAAGAGATAGAAATGATACATTGAGGTGAACCTAAGGCTAGACTCTGGGTGAGACAGGGTGACTTGATTGAGGTAAGGGACTTACTTACCTGATCCGAATACTGATAACAGATGTCCAGATCCCAGCCCCGGGAGACGGTGACTCCAAGAGGCTCCAGGCTCCAAGACTGAGGGTATCTGATGGGTCTGACCCTTAAATACTTTGGACACACCTCCCAGATGAAATCTGAAGCCTGATTGAATGACTGAGCCTCCACCCACTTCTTTTGTAATTCTGACGTTGTCTGTGTGGAGTGGATCAGTTCTTCACCCATGAAAAGACTTAGACTAACTAAGGCAAAAGTTACTCACCAATTCATTGACCCAACTAAGGCACAGTGACTTGTTTGCTATGGATTGATGGACTTAGTTTCTGAATCTTTTGAGGTGGGGTTTCACAGTGTACTACCTAAGTTTAGCTGGAACTCAGTATGGTGCCTAGACTGGGCTCCAACACTCAGCAACCATTCTGTATCATATTGCCCTGTGATATGTGTGGGAGCCTATTTTCAGGTTCCTTGTGGCTTTACCCAGTAGGTCCTCATAGAGAGGATGATTAGGACCACGGGCCTGAGTGCAGGAGTCTGAAATGGTCTGCACTTGGCTGTGCTGGGGGGAGGTCTTTTGCTCCGCCCCTTGGCGGCTCTATAAATACCCTGGGGCAGAGCCAGTCAGTGCCCCGTTGGAAAAGGTTCGAGGCCCTCTTGAGGCTATCCTTTATATTCTATCTGTTTATCTCCACAATCTAAATCTTTCTGTCTAATATTTCCTGCTACTCACACTCAAGAAAACACTGGGGAACTGTGTGGTTGGTGGGTAAACGCCCCACATAATGGCGCCATGAACAGGGACTAAAGAAAAAAGTAATAAAAAAGGGGGACTAAAGACAAATGAACAGGACTAAAGACAAAGTAATAGGGACTAAAGAAAAAGGAAAATAATAGTTTTATTACAGTCTTTGGCGAAAGTATATATATTATTGTGGGGCAGGGGTTTTATCCTCGAGAGAAAAGGAAAACGGACTGGAAGGATGTCCGATGCTGTAGCGCAAAGTTCTCTTCTGTCAAAAATTTCTATCTTCTATCCCTTTCTCTATTTCTTTCTGAAAAATAAGTTTAAGATATAGTGTAATAATATAGTGTAGGAAAAACTTAGATGTGTAAGATCGTATAGAAAAAAATAAGGCAACTAGACAGAAAAACTCTTCAATTTTCTAACTTTGGGGGCTATGAATGCAAACTGGGAAAAACTTTTTTTTTTTTGAGCTTTACAGGTAGTAAAAAAAGCTCTTCTTTGAGCTTATGGGGAAGAAAAAGTTTCCTATGGAAGCTTTTGACATGGGGACAGCTGAAATGCTAAATCCAAGCAGCAGGAGAAATTTTTTGCCTCTCCCTGAGGCAAAAATGGGGGTGTAAAAAGCCAAAGTTTAAAGTTTTGGGGAAAGTTGGTCTTTCTCTCTTGGGAAAAAAAATCTTCCTCTTAAACTAAAAAGTTTTCTAGCAAGTGCAAGGCCCTGGGTTAGGTCCTCAGCTCTGAAAAACAGAAACAAAAACAAAAACAAAAAAAACTAAAGTTTTTCTTGGGAAATTTGGGAAAAAAATCTCTCTAAAAAGTCTTAATCTTTCTTTCTCAAACTAAAAGCTCTCAAACTTAAAAACTAAAGCCTTTCAGAACTCTCTCAGGAAGACAAAAATTAGAATCACCTGAAGATATTAGTATGGGAATCACCTGTGATTAGTTCAAAGGGAAAACAACAAACCTCTTAAAAGGGCAAAACCTCTCCAAGTTCTCTTTCAAGCTTTAAAAATCACCCCTGCAACGCAGGAGGCAGGAACAAGTTCCTAAAAACCTCTTCTAAGCTCTGTTTCTTCAAGCTAGTGAAAGGCAGTGGGTCAGAGTACCCTGAGGGAAATGCTTGGGAGAGTGTGGGTAAAGAGCTACAGAGAGCCCAAAAGGGCAGGAAACTTTACTGGGAAAAGCAAAAAAAAAAAAAAAAAAAAAAAATGCTTTTCAGTTACAGCTGAGCTGAGTCATCAAGGGTTCTGTTTCTGAGTGAGCATTTCAGAATGAAAAGGTGCTTAATCAATGGTACTAAAGCAAAGGTCCCCTGAAGCAATGCAAACTCCGTTAGCACTGTATCCTCGCTTCTGACCAACAACCCAGAGGCCACTGGCCAGTGTCTCTGAGTTGGAGTGCATTTCAGGGATACTAGGGTTCCTGCAGTTGTAAACTTTCTGGAGCTCTGGAGCACAGAGCTGAGGCAGGAAGGTGCAGGACCCAGGGGAAGATGGCTAATGAACAAAGCAAGCTAAAGCCAGTGGGAACGGCACAGTTGTCTGCTTTCCTACAAGTCCCGGGTTGATAGGTCCACAGCTGCAAAAAAGAAATCTGAGAAAAGCTTTTCTATCAGACTAAGGACCTAACCTTTCTGGGAAAACAGTAAAGCTGAACTTTGTCTGAAGCAGTTGTGCTGCTGAGTCAGAATGCTGTCTGGGGAAAGAGCCCAGGCAGGGCAGAACAGAACTATCCAGGAGTAAAGCTTTCTTTTCTATCAGAGAAAGCATCTCTTTGAGAAAAGCTTTGTTTCAACTGACTCCTGGTGAGATGAGAGAGTATAGCCCTGAGGGGTGATTTGCCTCTGGCATAAGCTCTGTCCTTGAGCACAGGGACAAACAAACTCAACCCACTGGGGGACTGGGCCAGGTGAAGGCCTGATGAGGCAAAACACCTGTCCTAATGGGAGTTTAGAGATGGCAAAAACCTCCCTTGTTAGAAAAGCAGAAGCTTGATTTATGAACACAAACTCCACAGACCCCGAAAACAGAAACGGACAAAAAGCTCCTACCCTCAGTAACAGGAAAAGCCGCCACTTTAGTGTCAAAAACTGTTTCTGGGGCAGAGGGGATAAACTGAGATCAAACTGGGAACTGTCAGAGAAAGACTCTCTGAAGAAATGGAGAAGGGACAGATTCCTCCCCAGAAAATGCATGACCTGACAGCTGCTAGAGTTTGAGGCAGATTTGGGGGCGGGGGAAGCCCCTACCTCCAAAGGCAGCTAGCAGAGGTACAGAGCTGCAGACAGATACCTGAAGCTCTGCATCTGGGCGGAAAGGAACAAGCAAAATGAGAATAAAATCAGTGGGAGAAAATCTCTCTGAAGGATTTATGGAAAAGCTGTTGTAAATGATCTTGTTTTTCACTGACTGGCTAAGGCGAACACAAGCCCTGAGGAAAGTTGCTATCAAGAATGCCAGCCTCAAAGCCAGCTAATGAGGCAGGTTCGGTTCTGATCCGGGGCCAGTGTCTAATGAAGGAGAGACACCTGTTAAAGCCAGCTGAGGAGAGAATAGAAATCTCTCAATGTCCCATAATTGAAAACTTAAAATTCTTGGTTCAAACCTCTTGTTGCAAAAG